CTACCAGTGTTGGCCGCAATGGAACGCCGCGCCAGGGCCCCGAGAAGCCAGCAGACACGGCAGGGGCTCCTGAGGCGCCTGCCACTGAGGGGTAAAGAGCTGCCAGGCCGGATCGCCACCTTGGTTTAGGGTTTAGGGTTTAGGGTTTAGGGTTTAGGGTTTAGGGTTTAGGGTTTAGGGGTAGCCAGTAGCCAGATTTTCTCATAAGAGTACCCACTTTGTTTCTGGTGGGTTACTTTAATCAGGGAGCCTTGAACCCCAAAAAAAGAGTACCACCGGGCTACCAAGCCACCATCGAACGGGTAGATGTCCGCAGCTAGGTGCGCAAAGCTGGCGTAAGCTCGCGCAGGCCTGCGCTGCCCGCTCCAGAGGATGATGGCCTCGGCGATCGCTTCGCAGCAGCGCTCGCCGCAGGTTGCCAGAGGGTGACGCCCGGGTGCTGGGACTTGCTGGTAGTCTTCCTCCGTGAAGCTGAAGACGATGATGCCCTCACCTTCCTTGGGGATTAATTGAACCCTAGTTACAAGGGTTTGTGGTTATGATTGTAGCAGTTGGTCATAAAATCCTAGTTACTTTTACTCTAGGCTTCATGTCAAATATGGTCCCCCAAGGTTCTGGCGCATGGACCAGCATAGGGCCGCGTTCGCCTTGCAGCTCCACCAGCAAGAGCACAAAGATACCCTGCGCCTCGGAGTTTAGGGTTTAAGGTTGAGGGTTTAGGGTTTAGGGCCCTAAACTGCAAACCCAAACCCTAAACCCTAAGCCCTAAACCCTAAACCCGAAACACTAAACCCCTGCGCCTCGGGGAGGGTCATCATCAGCTGCTGTCGCAGCTGCCAAGCTTGCTCGAGTTCGCGCGTGCTGTTCCTAGTTTTCCCCGGCGACCTAGAGAAGAAGTAATTCTAAAAGGGAGCCTCCATGATGAGAAAGAGGCCATGAACCCGTTTTTGGATTCACTGAGAAAGGCACCCTTTTGTCTCCTATGGGTTTTCTCCGGGGGCCGAACGGTCGAAAGAGGGCGAAAGGGAGTGCTAGTGGGAGTCCTAGGTTCACCAGCCGCACAAACACGCGCGAGGCCTGCCGCGGCACATCGCCACGTCCAAGGAATCTCTGTGCTCTCCGTAAAATGTCCTCACGCGTGCGGGCATCGTCGAGGTTCGCATGCCAGAAGCTGCCACCCCAGTGTGCTCCATAGAACACATCGTGTAGCTCCTCCTCCCCGCGCCGCCGTTCAGTGTAGGAAAGGAAGTCACTGAACTCCGCGTTGATGCAGTGCACAATGCCCTCTAAGGGGCTGCGTACCCAGTCGAAGGGGTAGGAGTTCTTGCGTAAGTCCAGCAGTTGCAGGGCATAGGCCGGTGCGCAGTAGCAGCCAAGGCTCACAAACTCGCTGCGGGCGATGAACTCTGTAGCCTAGGTTGCCCGGAAGCCTAGGATTAAACAGGGTGCCCCCTTGTTTGCTTAAAGGGGCTTCTAAGGGAACCTAACTCCCCCCCCCAAAACAAGGGAGAAAAGGGTACCACTGGGCATCCTGGTAGCCCTTTGCCCATGCAGATGGAGCAGTGTGCGGCGTTCGTGTGGTTGCATGTCTGCGAAGTACTGCCTCTTACTTCTCCACTAACCAAGGGGAATAAAAAGAGGCCAAGCCTTATTTTTACTATTAGAAAAGGAAGCCCAAAAAGTTTAAAGTTCAGCTATTGGCTAAGTAAGGGCCTGTCATGGATATTCGGATTTTCCAGGTGTGCATCCCAGGGGATCAGCTCTGGGACGACCTGCGGTGTCCACTCAGGCGCGGCAGCCCTCAGTGTGCTGGTCACCTGAGGTTATTTGAGTTAGGAACTCACAAGATTTTGTTTTGAAGTTATTCGCGCGCTATATTCCTTGCTATATCACCTGAGTCCGGTAACTTCGTTTAAGCTCCTTAACACGAGCCCAGCCCTAAACCCTAAACCCTAAACCCTAAACCCTAAACCCTAAACCCTAAACCCTAAACCCTAAACCCTAAACCCTAATCCCAGTCACGGTGTCCACGTTGTCGTGTTCCCTGCCGGGCTCCGGCACACTCTCAGTCACCTCAGGGTCGTTCACCTCGGGGCCCGACTCCTCCAGGAAGCGCCAGATCGCTGGCTCCAGCAGCATGCACCTGTAACATACTTCAATATATATCCGCCGACCCCGCCAAAGGCGTCAGTGTTCCCCCACCCCCTACCCCCCCCCTCCCACCCCCTACCCCCAACACACCTTTAATCACCATTCCCGCCCCCTCCCCCACCCCCCCCCCCCAACCCCCTCCCCCCCCCCTCCCCCACACCCCCCCTACCCCCCCCTCCCCCCGACCTATGCCATGTACTGCTGAAGTGCTTTGTGAATATCTGCTGAAGGTTAACAACGTGCAGTACTCCATACATACATACAAAGTGTGCAAGATACCATATACTGCTGTAGCGCCTTGTGAGTTTCTATATCTGCCGAAGGTTCACAAAGTGCAGGGTTTTGGAAGTTTGGGGTATAGGGCCCCTTGGGCATCCAGGCGTTTTGGGGATGCAGGTGGAGCTTCCCGCCGCAGCCCTAACCCTAAACCCTAAACCCCTAAACCCCTAAAACCCTAAAACTGACCCAGGCACAGCTTCCCGCAGGCGACGAGGGCTTGGCTGGCAGCAAGGCCAAAGCCAAGCGCCGGCGCCAGCGATGGTGCAAGCCTTGGGAGTGGCGCTTGGGGTGACAAAAGAACACGCATGTACCGTCAGGACGGGGTTAAGGCTTTCGGGTTAAGGGTTTGGGGTAAGGTTTTAGGGTTTAGGGTTCTATATATATATATATATGTATATACAGACAGAGAGAGCAATTATAGAGTTGGCGTAGTGCATTTGTGATCCCAAACCTTGGTACTCAGGCCAAAGGCACGTCTGGGATGCCCAGGAAAGCGCATCGCCCCCCGGCCCTGCAAGCGCATCCAGCGCAGCCAGCGAAGCGGACAGGGGCTCCATCACCACTGCTGATGCACTATACAAGGAGGGCCCCCCCTTGTTACAAGAGAGCTATAAGGACCCTAAGTTGGGTTGTAAGGATCCTAAATTAGGTTCTAAGTCCCTTAACTACAGTTAGTACTGTAAGGGGGCGCTCTATTTTTCCACTGTAAGGGATACCCCCAAAAAGGCAGCCTTGTCGCCCCTAATCAAGAGGAATATCCAGTCCAGGCGTACATGCACTGTTGAAGTTTGAGATTGCCAGAGTACTGGCGGAGCCTGATGGCGCGCAGGTGGCTCTACATTTATGACTCCATCCTCGCGGCTACCTGCTAGCCCTACCAATGAAGTTGCTATTGCGCTACAAAGTTTGAATTCCAAAAAAGCACCCTTGCCAGCTGGCAGGATGGCTACAAGTATCTCTGGCTAAGAGGATTTAGGGTGTAGAGTTTGGGGTTTAAGGTTAAGGGTTTAGGGTTTCGAGGTTAGGGTGTAGAGCACTGGAAGGAGTGAGACCCCTCAGTACTCTAGGAATAAAAAGGGCGCCCTTTCGGGTTAAAAGGTGCTTAGAAGGGAACCACTTAAAAAAGGAAATGATGGGCCTACTCTGGGTCCTAGTAGGAAAAAATATATGTATATATTACACATATGTATATATAAATTCCATCCATATGATTATGCTAAGGGGTCCTGTGCCCTTTTTGGGCAAAAGGGCACCACTGGGCTGCCAAGTCTTGGTTCAGGCCTTAGGGGTTTTTGCAGTTAGGGTTTGGGGTTCGTAGGGTTTAGGGTTTAGGGTTTAGGGTTTAGGGTTTAGGGTTTAGGGTTTAGGGTTTAGGGTTTAGGGTTTAGGGTTTAGGGTTTAGGGTTTAGGGTTTAGGGTTTAGCGCATGAGGTGCCTCCATGTACTGCTTCCGCAGCTCGTACTGGAGCAAATTCTGCAGGGGAACCGAGAGCATGTCCAGAATCCTGGCGCCCCAGCTTATTCTACACGGTTTAGGGTTTAGGGTTTAGGGTTTGGGGTTTAGGGTTTAGGGTTTGGGGTTTAGGGTTTAGGGTTTAGGGTTTAGGGTTTAGGGGCCCATGTACCGTATATACGGTCTATACGTACGACTTTAAGTCCTGCTGAGGGTATATGAACCATAAACGCAAGGCACCACTCAACCTCTGTACACGCAAAACTCTGAACCACTAAACCCTGAGCCCCGCTTAATACCTGAACCTTGGGACTACTAACAGTCCTTAATCGGAATTGTGGTGTAATCCCCACTAATTAAGGACTTTTAGTATAAGAAGGAACATGCAAAGCTGAAGCCCTGAACCCCACACCTGATGCCTTTAAAAGCCCCGGTGTGTGAGGAGAACCGTCAAGCCCGGACACTTTGAGCACAGGGTTTGCCTGGCACTCTATTTACCTACAGTTTAGCAGAACCTACCCCTTAATTCGCAGGTAGAAACCATAAAGCTCTAGGGTAAAGAGAGTCCTAGGAGTGTGTGGGTTTAGGGTTCAACCCTAGAATACTAGAAAGCCCTAAACCCTAAACCCTAAACCCTAAACCCTAGAACCCATCGGGTGGGTGCGAACGCCACGGCGTGCCCCCAAAGACCGGCCGGCACCGCTCGATGCTCTCCGGACCTTCTTGCGACTTGCTTGCAGAATTGGGCTTTAAGGTTTAGGGTTTATAGGGTTTAGGGTTTAGGGTTTAGGGTTTGTAGGGTTTGTAGGGTTTGTAGGGTTTGTAGGGTTTGTAGGGTTTATAGGGTTTGCAGGGTTTGTGGGGTTTGTAGGGTTTTTAGGGTTTGTAGGGTTTGTAGGGTTTGTAGGGTTTGTAGGGTTTGCAGTTTTAGGCTTTCGGGTTTGTAGGGTTTAGGGTTTAGGGTTTATAGGGTTTGTAGGGTTTGTAGGTTTTGTAGGTTTTGTAGGGTTTGTAGGGTTTGTAGGGTTTGTACGGTTTGTAGGGTTTTTAGGGTTTTTAGGGTTTTTAGGGTTTGTAGGGTTTGTAGGGTTTGTAGGGTTTGTAGGGTTTGTACGGTTTGTAGGGTTTTTAGGGTTTTTAGGGTTTGTAGGGTTTGTAGGGTTTGTAGGGTTTGTAGGGTTTGTAGGGTTTGTAGGGTTTGTAGGGTTTGTAGGGTTTGTAGGGTTTGTAGGGTGTAGGGTTAGGGTTCATAGCGTTTTGGGTTTAGAGTTAAGGGTCTATAGGTTATTTATAGCCTAAAACCACAAGTAACGCCTAAAGCCTAGACCCCGAATCCTAAACCCTAGTTCTACATAGGGTCTATACTGGGGTCGGTCTACGTCTCAGGGCACCGGCAACTCTCAAATCATGGGGGGGAGAAGGATCCGTATGCAAAATCTGGCCACGCCCGGCCCAAACGAACCTCTAAAAGGCCATCTGTGGGCCTTTGGGTTTAGGGTTTAGGGTTTGGGGTTTAGGGTTTAGGGTTTAGGGCTTTAGGGCTTTAGGGCTTTAGGGCCTCGGGTTTAGGGTTTAGGGTTTAGGGTTTAGGGTTTAGGGTTTAGGGTTTAGGGGTTGGATCCCATGAGCCCCTAATCTGCAGCCGCGGCGCTGACTTCGGCCTGCCTCTTCGCGGACTGGAACTCGAGGAACTTGATGATTCTTGAGCGGGTGGCATACCTGAGGGACGGAGGAGGTTTAGGGTTTAGGGTTTAGGGTTTAGGGTTTAGGGTTTAGGGTTTAGGGTTTAGGGTTTAGGGTTTAGGGTTTAGGGTTTAGGGTTTAGGGTTTAGGGTTTAGGGTTTAATTAGGGTTTAGGGTTTAGGGTTTAGGGTTTAGGGTTTAGGTTTAGGGTTTAGGGTTTAACTAGGGTTTAACAGATTTAGGGTTTAGGGTCTAGGGACCCTAAACCCTGAGCTCTCTAAGTAGCCATTAAGATACCCTACTTATGCCCCGTTCCCATGAAGGGACACCTTGGCCCTTGCAAAGAGCATGTGTGGGTCCAGGTTTGAGTGTGGAGGGTTTCTTTTCGGTGGGCCAGGGCCAAGATGTTAAGGCCAGGGCTGTTCTTTTCACAAAGTGTAGGATTGAGGGCTGAGGGGTTAGGGGTTTAGGGTTTGATGGCTTTTGTTTAGGGTTTTAGGGTGTCCGGGCTTGGGCTTGAGGGGCTACATTCTATTGTACTTGCATGCAGCATGCATACATACACCTGCCTGCGTGCATGGCTCCTCTGTCCCTGAAAACCCTACACCCTAGTCCCTGAACCCTGAACCCTAAACCCCAAACCCCAAACCCTAAACCCTAAATTAAACCCTAAACCCTAAAGGCACTTCAAAGCTGCGAAGCCCGCAAAGAGACCCCAGACCTTCATGCCACAAGAAGCGGGCACTTCTGAGAATCAGGGTCCATTTTGGGGTCCTTACGTTTTAAGCCGTGCTAATATAGGCCTTAGGGTTTAGGGTTCAGGGTTTAATCTAGAGAAAGACCCAAGTTCAGATGAAAGCGTACGAATTGCAACTCTGAACCCTAAACCCTGAAATGGCCGGTCTCCAGGAAGACACGGCACGCAATCTTCTTGGAGTTCAGGTAGCCTCAGCCAGGCTTGCACGGTTAGGGCTTATTTGAGTAGCCAGAAGTCTCCTAAGCGCACCATAAGGGGTCTTCGGGCTTAAGGGCTTATGAAGGATTTAGGAGGCTACGCTACAAGAGGTACCAGGTCACTTACTCGACGAATGATGTATCCGCGTTCTTCGCGATGTGCGCGGCCAGTGCTCCACACACCCTCACCCGACCTGCTGTGCAAGGAGGTGGCCCCCTTACTATACTAACTGTAGTTAAGAGACTTATAGCCTCATTTTGGGATCCTTATAACCCAGTTTGGGGTCCTTATAACTCTACTTATCACTAGGGGGGCCCCTCCTTGTAGCTTGGCAGGCCGGTAACCACATTGCAGTATCACATCAGGGCAGAACCACGGGGCCACCAAGAAGTATGTACAGCAAACAAGTGCAAGAATGCGTACTGGAGATAGAGGGGGAGTGGGGGAGCGAATGTAGGTACTCGTTGCCATTGCGATGCTATGTATTCTGATCGAAAACCCTAAGCCCTAAACCAGCAGCAACTTACTGAAACATCGGCATCCTAAACCCGAAACCCGAAACATTTACCCCTAAACCCTAAACCCCTAACTCTTAAACCCTAAAAACCCTTGGCCGGAGGGGGGGGGGGGGGAGAAAGCTTCAACAGAGCCTGTAGGGACCATTGCGCAATTGTGGATGGTTTAGGGTTTAGGGTTTAGGGTTTAGGGTTTAGGGTTTAGGGTTTAGGGTTTAGGGTTTAGGGTTTAGGGTTTAGGGTTTAGGGTTTAGGGTTTAGGGTTCTAGAAGGAAGCTGCATCCTGAACATTCGACCCTGAGCGTCTGCAGCCGCTGCCGGTTTGAAGCAAGCCTAGGGCCCAAATAAACCCACAACCCAAACCCCCACCCCACCCCCCCACCCCCCCCCCCCCGCAAAAAAAAAACTTAAAACAAAAAAATAATAATATACATATACATATATATAATACATATATACATAAGCAAAAAAAGCAATACAGCCGAAGTTGCTTTGTCATTTCAGGCAGAACTCCGAGCGGTCAGGCTTCAATTTTTCCAGGTTCTAGGGTTGCTTGTGGTTTAGGGTTTAGGGTTTAGGGTTTAGGGTTTAGGGGTTAGGATTCAGGGGTCCTTTCAGGGTAGTGTCAGGGGCCCTTATAAAGGTCCCTTGCCCTCTTAAAAGGGCCCTGAAGGATGAGCCCTGGAGTGTCATAGGGTATATAAGGGGAATAGGAGGGCTATTTTAAAGGCCCCCAGACTAAGGGACCATATTAACTGCCCTAAGAGGTCCTTGCACCCCAAAGCCCTTAGGGTTTAGGGTTTAGGGTTAGGGTTTAGGGTTTAGGGTTTAGGGTTTAGGGTTTAGGGTTTAGGGTTTAGGGTTTAGGGTTTAGGGGTTTAGGGTTTAGGGTTTAGGGTTTAGGGTTTAGGGTTTAGGGTTTAGGGTTTAAGGTTTAGGGTTTAGGGCTAC